GCTGATTGGGTGGTCCTTAGCTTTGAAGACCTCTCAAATGCATTGAAATAGATTTGTATCACTTTCAGTGTTCTTCTAATGTTATATTTTAATGTCTCCAGTTTATTAATAATTTTTTACTGGACATAATATTTCTTGTACTGAGTAATTATTGCAGTTGTCCATATTTTCTGCTCAGCTTTTGGACAATTGGAAACAAATAAAATACCATAAATTTGCCATCATTTTCTTTTAATTTCTGCTTTTTTAATGCTTTCCACGATATCTTCATAATTTTAAATAATGAAAAAAATTATATATCTTGATAATTCAAATGCAATGCAAATAGAGGGAGCGAATTTTCTGTGTTTTGCACTTTGTATTGTATGAAGTATTTTGCATGCGAGGACATGTGAACAAATATTTAATTTTAATGCGCTGTAGAAACTTTTGGCCGGTTATACACAAATAAATGCTCCAGATACTTCCAGGTCGGCTATTGTAGAATAAATTTCTGGTCAGTGTCGGACAGTTCTTGCAATTGATATTGTGTCTGTTATTGCTGTGCTGCTTCTAATATTCTTAACAGAAGGCATATTTGTTCCTCCCCTTAATCCCTTATACGTTGCACTTGAATTCAAATGTTGCTATATTCATGACACGAATCTAGAGATATATCCAAGATATTTGATAGATTGTACATTGTGCAAAATTTATGAGTGGAGATTTTCATAATGAATCCACGTTATTGAGTGAGCTTTAGTGTATGATATTTAATAGAGCTTTTATTTGAGGGGATATTTAATGTGGAGAGCTCTTATGTGAAATTTTAAGTTCACTCTCATTTAATTGTTGAAAAATATTTTCGCATACAAGTACTTGTAGGCTATCGGCATTTATTCTTATTTGGGTAACTCGCATATTTAGTTTATTCTTATACTCAAAAGTTCATTTCAAATATCTCTAGAGTTGATGCATGACTCTCTTTACTTGTCTACTATTTTTTAAAGTCAAAGCACCTGGAATTGATTTGAACTTGGGTTCGGACCTCTATTCCAACTAAATCACATGTGTTATATGTTGCGATCTCCCCTTCTCATTTACGGCAAATTATTACCGGAGACGTCACCCCGACCCCAGTGCATTCGGGTGACACGTCGCGTCCGAATTCGTCTCCAGACGGTCCGGACACCGCATGTAATAATTTGCCCCCATTTACACCTCGTCGAATCCCATTGATCCTGACGTGAATTCCCCTTCTCCTTTGCCTGCCATCGAATCCTATCAGTCTCTCTTTATTTCTCTTTTCACAAGTCTTAGGATCACATCGACGATGCTCTTCAAAACTCATTTTGTCCTTCATATAATATCGAATCGTATTGGTGTCCTTATCACCTTATCCTCCGATGTGCTCTTCACACACCATCTGAATCCTTTCAATGCTCTTCTCTTTCTTAGGCCTCACGATCCTGTAGATGCCATTCTCCTTCACACGCTATGTTCGAAGTAAGCTCAAACTAAGTTCAATTCAAACCCATTCAAGCTAAGCCTTACTACACAGTTCATGAATATAAGTGAGCATTTTCATTTTAAAGAAAATTTTGGGTTTATTTTTTCGAGAAAATGTTTATGTTATACTCTTTAATTTGTTCATTAATAAGAAATATTGATTCATGTTTGTTTTAAGTGGTCACGAACACGATTATTTATATGAAGAATCATTTTTTAACCTCATTTCTTCTGAATTTACTCGTTTGGTAGCTCGAAAACATCTGCTATATATGTTTGAGAACAAGCTCTAGGTAATTTTTTATTAGTAGGCTCGATAAAACTCGTTTGCTATATTAATAACATATAGAAAATAAAGTTCGTTAATAGTTCAATAAGACTTGTTTGTTTAAAGTTTAATAAGCATGAAAAGAATCAAGAATGAATCAAATATAAATCAAACATGACCATCTATCATTTTAAACAAACCATGTTGCATACAAATAGAAAATCTAGAATCCAGCTTCATCCGACTTGAACTAACTGATAATAAACAAGCTCAAACATGAACAAACATCTACTTGGCTCGGCTTGGTTCGTTTGCAACCCTATGAATCACACTTCTAAGTAAAAAAAAATGAAAATTTTAAATGAGATTATTTTAAAATTAATTATTAAAAAAAGGTGGAAAATAACAAGTTTATTAACAAATCAAGTTGCCACATTGTCTGTGACTTGCGCATGTTATGTGGATAAGTTGTCGTCCATGTGTGGATAAGTTGTCGTCCATGTGGTAACTTTTTTTTTTTTATGGTCGTCCCTTGTCGAATTCTTAGCCCTCTACAGGAAAATTGTCCATTTCATGATATTTTTTCAGTGAAAATAGGTGATTTTCCGGTGATTTTTTTTCCAATCGATATTAACAATGTAGGAAACTGAAACCGGCGGTTTATTTCCGACCGACTGTTTATTTCTGGCCATAATATTTTTCAGGGGGGTTTGTAGATGTGGTTTCACCGGTGGGTGGAACGGCGTCTGGTGCGATTTGACAGTTGGAAATTTACAACAGTTGATTTGGCGGTTTAGCTGCTGGCAATAGTCGGCAGTCTGACTGCTGGAAATTTACAGCGATTTAGCTTCTGGAAAACCGCCATTTATTAGCGATGGTTTCTCATGTGTTTCGATGGCCCAAAGATATGTTCCGGTATCTAAGTTTCTGACAGCTAAAACCTCTAGCATTTGAAAAAAAAAACCGCCCTTGTACTTCCAAATTTCCATAATTTGCACCTATAACAGTTGAATAATGCAAAATAACATACACTAATACAATATTCACAATCAACATATGCTGAGGCAGTTGAAAACATAACATTCATAATAAATAAAATTTTAAACATAGGAAATTATAAACTTCAAATTGTTAAACAAACTTCAAAATATAAATTTCAATTACAATAAAGTTTCACATCCAAATGTTCTAAAACAAAAGCTAGTTCTCCAAACTACAACAATAATTTGAACATTAAATTAAATCTATATTCATCTGTGCACAACAATACACACCAATACATAATAATGCATATCTAATACATATCAATACACGATAATACCTAGTAATACACTAGTTTAGATGTCAAATGTTAGGAGTCTGGACGTAGCTCTATGTCCGATGTCTGCAAATAACAATTTCTCCACTTGTGGGCCTCCTCCAACGGAGTTGTAACTCGATAAGCTGAGCGTCGATTGCCTTTAGTTGTTGCTTCTGTTGATTGTCATTAGCCACTCCGCCCTCTCTTGAGTTCAGTTTCTTCTCTCAGGCTGCTCCTTAGCAGAAGTCTTTCTTTGCTTGCGGCCTAGTGCCACTCCCAACCATCCTCTATCTTTTTATAATTTTTTTTTCCCTCTAGAGAAAGTGGTTCGTTGGTTGGAAGCGGCCCAAGAACCCATCGCCGCCGTTGCCATTTTTGACCACCACCATCGCTTGCCGACCACCACCGCCGCCGTCGCTGCCTTTCGTAGGTCGCCATAGCCTTTCATAGGTCGCCACCATCGGCCATCACAATTTAGGACTTTCTCTGTATTCATTACTTAAAAAAATCATTCATATGCATTTACTTTACATTCATTCAAATAATTCTAAAGCATTCCTTTATACTCATTCTTTTTTCAGCTAACCTAACAACCTCTTAATAGGATTTAGTAAAAGTTCAGATTTAATAAATTATAAAAACGGTTTGATAAAATATTTATTAACATTTTTTAAATGATGTGAAATTATTGGGTAGGGGCAACATAATATTGAATTTAAGGCGATTAACTTATTAAAAATTAAAAATTAATTATTTTTAGTATTTATCAACTAATTATTAATTCTAATTTTAATTATCATTACCACAACAAGAAAAATATCAAGCCTTTATCCCACTATGTGGGGTTGGCTACATGCATCATTTTTCTATATTGTGTCATGTTAAAAGTCAAATTCTCTTTTAGATCTAATAAAGAAAGTTTATTTATACTATTTTCTAACCAAGTCTTTTTAGGTCTACCTCTACCTTTATGTAATACATCTACTCTCCTAAAAGGGTCATCGGAAGGTCGCTGTTTTACATGACCAAACAATCCAAGGCATATGTCACTGGAGTTACTCTAACCTTTTCACATATATGTAGGTTTCGTATCATATCTCTAAGAGTAAATCCACTCATCCACATGAGCATCCTCATCTAAGCAACACTTAAAACTTTGTATTATATTTCTCTTTTAATGACCAACATTTCACACCATAAAGCATTGCAGGTCTTCCACCATCTTATAAAATTTTCCCTTAAATTTGAGTGGTACTTTTCTATTGCACAACAGACTCGAAGCATTCCTCCACTTCAACCACCCAACTTGAATTTTATTAATAATATCATCATCTATTTCACCATCACTTTGAACAATATATCCAACATATCTAAAATGAGTACACTTATTAATGACTTAATTGCTCAAAGTCACAAACCCCTCATTAGATCTATAACTACTAAATTTACTCTCCATGTATTCGGTTTTAGAACTACTCAAATGAAAAACTTTAGACTATAAAGTTGATATCCATAATTCGAGTTTACCTACAACTATCTCTATAGTCTTATCAAAAAGAAAAAAATATCATCAGCAAAAAGCATACACCATGTTACATCCTCTTGCAAATGTCTAGTAAGAACATCTATGCCTAAAGCAAACACATAAGAACTTAAAGCTAATTCTTGATGTAATCCAATTGAAATAAGAAAATACATTATCAAACCAACTTCTGTTTGAACACAAGAGCATGCATGGTGACTTGAATATAAGCATTATTAGCCCATTTCTTTTCTAATATCACTTTTCTAATTTTAATTATCATTAGTAACTAATAATTATAAATAATTTAATTAGAATATAAGTTAATTATAAATTAATTTAAGTAACTAATTATTAATTAATTATATTATATTCTTAATTAAACTAAATTAATTAATAATATGATACGCTTCTCTTCTTTTCAAGAATTTCTCTGCTCTTCCTTCATATTGCCGTAGGCTTGCTAGGGTTTGTTTATCCTCTTTCTCCTGCTATTCGATGCTTCAACTTCGCTTCGCGTGAGTTTTGAACGAGTCGCTAGAAGAGTTCTTCCCCTCCTTCGTGTTCCTTCCTGCCGGATCAGAAGTCACGACAGTTCTCCGTTCTTCCTATTGGATCGGAAGTAACGACGAAGACAGGAGCTTGCTCGTTGCGAAGGTAGCCATCTTTCTCCCTTTCGCGCGCTTCTTCGGCCAAATCCCGTAAATCCGCCGAACTACCGGATTTAGTAAATCCGGAATTTAGGGCATAAAGAGGGAAACGGGGGATTTATTTCTCCGTGAGATTTAACTGAACCTTACATCCCATTTGGTCCTGCTTAAATCCTGCTTAAATCCTGTATCTAAATAGCCCCTTACTGTTTCCTACTTTCACCCCGGGTAGCATGTAGGCTCTTCCCGAGCTTATAAGCGTTAGAGTTAATGTGGTTTGGTTTGCTTATAGTTCTTTTTTTGAAGAAAATAAAAAAAACGTCCTGGCTCCCGAGCGTTTTTAAGGTTTTATTCTGCTATGTGTAATGTTGGTTCTTGCTACTGAAATACACATGTATCATGCATGTAAATAGTAGTAACCTTTTTTATTGGGTTGAATCCAACTTCCAATATTTAGCCCTATAGACACATAATGCATCCTACTTGCATTTGGCTGTAGTACATATGTTTGTATAGAGCTGTCAGAAAAGAAAAGAATAAAACATGTCAGTTATGGTAGCAAAGATGCCATTCAAGTCTTGTTGTCTTCCTATGGATTTTTTGAAGCTTCTGTCGCCAATGGCATGTTCCTTCATGTAGTATAAATTTTCAGTCTCATTTGTTGTACTGCTAATACTCTACAGTAATCAGTGCGGATTGCAAGTGTGTGCAATTGCTTGAAAATGATTACCCCTGCATGGGCATTTCATGTGTAGCCTATATTGGGATATAATTGACCAGACTTGCAGAAAACTGCAATTTGATTTTTTTTCTTTATAGCAAGTATAGCTTCCAGATAAGCTTTACGAGCTTAATCATGGTATGCAGCAAAAGGGATCCTGGATAGTGTGTGCTTTGTCATTTTTCTTGCAGGACCTTGTATAACACTGCATAGTTTTGAATGTAGAGCTCATACAATCCAAGCCAGTTTATTGGTGCCAAAGTGTGTGAACATTTATATTCCACAATGGCACCATGTGGAAAACTTATTCAGTGATCTCTAGATCATGGTTCTTCACTTGCCAAATGTTCAAACTTACGCTAAATTAGCAAACCTAACTGAGTTTATTTAAAAAATAAAGTGGACCCAAGTGAACCAGTCTGTGTTCTCACCAATTTGAATGCAATTTACATTGATGTTCTTCTAAATCCTCAAGGAGCTATCAATAACTGAAATGGTGTCCTAACCCTTATGAAGCTATGATGCTTTCTTGTAAAAATATGTGCTTTGCTATTAAAATTAATTTCAAGAAGTTATAATATTTAGTTCTATCTACAATTATTTCATTCATAGAAAAAAAATATTTTAATATTAAGCAATGTAAATTTTCCAATAGATGTGTGAAAATGCTTAGGAGATCAAGGATTTTTTTTGGCTAACTAAACTTTTTAATATTATTTTGAAGACTAAAAGATGCCAGATGAGTGGAGGAGTGTGTTAGTTCCTATTTTTTGAGAATTAAGGTGATGCACAAGATTGTGCTAATTATAGAGGAATTAAGTTAATGTGTCATACATTAAAAATATGGGAGAGAGAGTAATTGAGTAAAGGTTACGATGTTATACTAATATTTCTAATTTTTTTTTGGATTCATGCTGGGTTGGTCTACTATGGAAGCTATATATTTGTTTGCAGGTTTGATGGAGAAGTATAGAGAGAGCAAGAAGGATCTACATTTGATATTTATTGATTTAGAGGAAGCATAAGATAAAGTTCTAAGAGAAGTGCTATGAAGTGTTCTTGTAAACAAAGGAGTTAATAATGGTTATATTCAATTCATTAAGGATATGCATGTAGGAGTTGTTACGTGTTCAAACACAAGGTTGTTTGACCAAATTTTTTAGTATTTCAATTGGATTAGATCAAGGGTAAATTTTAAGCTCATATCTTTTTTCTTTAGTCATGGATGTTTTTACTAGACATTTGCAAGAGGATGTATCCTGGTGTATGCTTTTTGTTGATAATATTCTTCTTGTTGATAAAACTTGAGGAGTAGAAGTAAAACTTGAATTAAGGAGTTCAACCTTTTGAGTAGATATAAAATTGAATACATAGAGTGTAATTTTAGTATTAAACTATTAATAGATCTAATAGTGGGTTTGTGACTTTGGGTGATCACATCATTAAAAAGAGGGCACAATTTAGATATCTCGGGTCTATTGTTAAAAAAGATGGGGATATTATTAGTGGAATTTAAGTTGGATGGTTGAAGTGGAGGAATGCATCGAGCTTGTTGTGTGATAGAAAAGTTCCCCTCAAACTTAAGGGAAAATTCTATAAAATGGTGGTGAGAATTGCATTGCTTTATGGTGCAGAATGTTGGCCATTAAAAGAGAAGCATAATATTAAGTTAAGTGTTGCAGATATGAGAATGCTTAGGTGGATGAGTTGCTTCACACATAGAGATAGAATGCGCAATGAGTATATACGTGGAAAGGTTGGAGTAGCTTTAGTGACATATAAGATTGGAGAGAGTCGGCTTAGATGATTTGGTAACATAAAGTGTCAACCTTCTAATGACCCGGTTAGGAGAGTAGATGTTTTAGATCTTGCTTATGTTAAGAAAGTGATAGGAAACTATGGCTCTTTTAAAAAAAAAAAAGAATAAGAGAATTGAGAAGAAGAATACCTGCAACACTTTTTATTGAAAGATGATGCGAAGAAAAAAAAGATACAATAGGATCCTCAATTAGAGAGGAGGATCAAGCTCTCCCAAATCTCTTACCGGCAGCTAGAGCCCAAACACCTTAAACAAAAACTCAAATTTCAGCCAAAATAAGAGATGCGAAAAGTCCTAGAAGTAATTCCCTCTTAAATAAACATTAATTCCCCCTAATTACCAAACAAACCCTCTATTTGAAATTTCCCTCCTAAATCCCCCCTTAATTGAGCTTGTGGATCCCATCCTCAAGAGGGCGGCTAGGCTGGGGTGGAACCCCTGTTCTGCCTCCTATAGATTCAAGCCGGTCATAGTACCGGTTTAGGGTCCGGTCTAACAAAAAAGGTAGAGGTAAATCTAAAAAGACTTGGTTAGAAAGTATCAGAAATGAACTTTGTTTATTATATTTAATGAGAATTTGACTTTTAATATGACACAATGGAGAAAAAAGATTCATGTAGCCGAGGGGATATAGGCTTGATGATGTTGTTGTTGTTGTTGTAGAGAACAAATATTCACCTATAAGTGAAATACCATGATGTAACTTGAGTGTAGCCAGAACTGAGCAAGGATTTGTTAGGACATTATTTGTAGGGTGAGGCCACACATTATTTTATTTTATTTTATTTAGGGTGAGGCCACAATTTAACCCAATTATGAGCAAATGTTGGTTGGAATTTCTTTTGCTAGTGAGACAATACAATTTTATGAAAAATAGGTAAAGATTTGAAGTAAGATTAGATTCATTACGTGAAATTTAAGGACTTTGATCAAGAAGATGGGAGAATTGGTGGACATACAATAAAATTATGAGGGAGAATGATGGAATATGGGTTAAAAAAATATATTAGTATCAGAGAACCAATTTGGTTTTATTCTAGGAAGATCTACTATGGAGACAACCTTTTTTAGAAAACTAATGGAGAAGTTTAACGAGCAGAAAAATTGTATTCATATTATTTTTTTTGTAATCTTAAGGAAACATATGATTGTGTATCACGTGAAATGATTTCATACATTTTAATGAAAAAAAAGGTGTTAAGGGTTTGCTCATGCTATTAAGGATATATATGATGGAGTATTGATTATTATAATTTATTTTGTAGTGAACAAAGAGTTTTCAATTACAATTTAGTTATATCAAGGATCAGTGTTAAGTTTATATGTTTTAGTATGTTTATGGAGATTAAGACAGCTACGAACTTGAAACTTGCTTGAAAATCATTTGAAATTTGACTCGACTTGAAATTGATTCAACTAAATTCAAAATTGATTTCTAGTCAATTCTGGGTTTGTTCTAATCAGTGATAATTTGAGTTGATTCGAAATCTGATTTGAAATAAGTATTTACTCAAAATATATAATGTATGTAACTTGAGATATTTATATACAAATTGTAGTATTTATAATGATGTATATAATTGATTAAGTATTGAATATGACTTGACTCGAAATCAAATCACTCTGAGTCAACTTGGCTTGAGTTGAAATGATTTTGATTTCAAGTAGAGTTAGAATCTAAATTTTTTATTTTGAGTTGAGCCAAACCCGCTGTAATTCAACTTGATGCCGACCTTAATGGAGATGTTTACATAGGATATTCAAGTGGGAGGTTACCTTTGTGTATGATTTTTACAAATATTTTGTTTCAATAGGTAAGACTTCTATTAAAATATGTAAAATGTTAAATCAATAGAGAAAATATTTGGAAGTTAAATGACTTAGAATAACAGAACAAAGATTAAGCATTTAGTATGTAACGTTAGTTGGTGCGCCATTAAAAATTAGCCAAATTTCTTTAACTTAACTCACCTAGCCCATCTTTATCATGTTTATGCTGTCATTCTAATTCCTTGCGCTGCCATTCCCCTATGCTGCATATGCTTTCTTAATGGAAAATTAATCGTGTTAGTTGTCTTTTGTTGAAATCAGCTCACCAATGGTCTTTTTCAGTTACCGATCTTTTGATTTGTGAATTATTTGCTGGACCTTTTCATATATTAGCTTTGTGGTATGTTCCTAATGCTGATTTGAAAAAGCTTTGCGCTACCATCTTAAATTAATGATGACTGCCAAGAACTGACATATTGCATACTTTTATGCTCGTACAATCTGGTTGATTGTTAGGGTATAGATTTCTAATGCCAGCACTTTTATTATGTATTCGTGTGATCAGATGAAATTAGTTATTGGTTGTTGTATTCCAACCATACTTACTGAGTGGTTGCCTGGTAAGGGAAACAATTGAGGGTAAAAGATGGGTGAATGAAAACAAAAAAGCAAGTTAAACAATTTAGTTTGCTTGGTGGAAACACATTGTGACTGCAAAAAAAGCCTTGCTTAGAAGGGGTAGATTTTCCTTTGCTGAAATTTACTTTCTGACTAGATAATTTCCAGGTTTTATATGTTAGTATTATGCCTCGTTGTTTGCATTTCTATAAACTCATGTTGTAATTTTAATAAAATCTAAGGTGAGAGATGATGGTTAATTGTACGGCAATCTCAAAGATGTCTGTTCTTTCATTCACCATCAGAAAGTATTGCTGGAGGTATTCCTCTTGTTTTCTGTTGAAGCTATCCCCATTCATCTGTTTTCTCCTGAGGGATTGAGTTGTGAAAATTGCATTTTTAAAATTTTAATTTTGTTAATGTACTTGCCTTTTCTCTCATGTTATGATTGTTTTCTAGGTTGATAAATTTAAGTTGCAATCTTTGGTTGCTCCATTTTTTTAAAATATCAAACTTACATTGGGTTGACGTGTTGGTTTCTTTGATTTAGAATTATCTGTGAATTTTAGCTTTTAATTTGACGAAATGTGTTCTTTAGATTATTATGGCATGACCAAAAAAATGTTTTGTGTGCTTGTATGCCTGACTTACAGGCCATCCCAGCTTTCTAGTGTGGTCTCTTTATGTCAGAAGAAGAGACCTAACGGTCCTTTTGGTTGGAGAATGTCACAAGACCTTGAGAAAACTTGCAAGGAGACAAGAAGCAAAGGCAGTACGCTGCTCGTGGCATCAGACAGGTACATCGAGAAATCAGTTAAAGCAATCAAAGATGGAAAGGTTATAGCAGTGCCCACTGACACACTTTATGGATTTGCTTGTGATGCATGGTATGTGGTTTGAAAAAGTGTTTTTCGTTTAAGTTATGTTGTGCTTTGTAAACCTAATATATTTAGGACTTGCCATGCATTCAACCAAGGTAACCTCTCACTTTGGCATGCCTATTAATATGTTCTTCTCCTTAAAATATCTTTTTTTTTTTTTTTAAATCCATGCATCTTCTGATTAGATGTGCCTTGGTGTGGTAATTGCGATAAAAGTTTGCCAGCTTATATTCAGTTAGTTTATGCTGCTGCTTTTAAAGAAAATCACTGTAACATTGAAAAAATGATGATTCCATGGGCAATTGGTTGCATAATGTCCAAAACATGACATTTAAAACACTTGCGTGCCAGAAGGGAGGCGGTCGTTGTGATTGGAGGGGTTGAAGTTCGGATAGCATTTATTCCTGCATTTTCTGCTATTTGTCCATCCACAAGAGCAGGTGCCAGAGGTGGTTCTAGACCAAGTTGCCCGCTAAAATGAGTTTTTCTTGTTCTTTGTTGCTTTCCTAGCTTGAGGGCAAGGTTGATGACATAATTTATTGTCTAATATGGTTGTAGTTAAACCACATTGGCTATAGAAGATTTTAACCCTCCAAGAAATTGAGCTATAGTATTTTCTTCAAGTTCCACCTAGTTGCACTTCAACATTAGTTGTTCGAATTCAGCCGTATAACTCTCCAGCAATAGTTCTTGTAGTTGAAGATGGTGTAGGAGAAGGAATATGTCTTGCTGTTAGTAGGATGGCAAGAATTTCCTTTGCATTTCTTTCTTCAATCCAAGAATTGATCTTGGTTTTCCTTCCCATTGTCTGGATCGCTTTATGTTCTCCTACCACAAGGTTGTGTAGCCTTTTTATTTGATTGCTAACAGTTTTACGATATGATCAAGTGGTACCTCCTTGTATTGAAGAATTCTTTCCACGGTGTGGAGCAAATTAAGAAATTTATCCAGGTCCAATCTTCCTTCAGAATTCTAGATCTCAATCTTGATTCCAAAATCTTGATGTGGTTTTCTAGGTTCTTGCCGGTAATTGCGGAGAGGTGGTTCTTCCTCTTCATTTGAAGTTTCTTGATGAAAAGGATTCTCATCTTCTGCTTGACGTTCTTCCTCATTTAGATGTTTAGTTGTATGACATAATTCCATCACCACAAGTCGCCTTGAAGTTAACGAATCTCTCGGTGTAAATCTTCCATGGAAGGTTCTTGAAATGGTCTTGGCTCGCCTCTTCTTGGTGGCATTATTGGAGTTTCTTGCTGGAATGTGATACCAAATGGCACCAAAACTTTTAAAGTAAAGGGAAGATGGGAAAAGGATAGCAGGTCGGATCTTCTCCACTAGCCTTAGTGCACCGGATAGTAGTTGGACAGCCTTTTGGTGGTTGTTGGAGGGAGGCTTGGGAAGGGACCGAACAACAGTTGAACAACTTCGTTTGGCTGCTGAAATGAAGGTGGGAGGCAGTTAATTCGGGTAGAGGTCACGTACAGCAGCTGGTTGATCTTGGAACAAGTATGGACAGCAAATCTTCAAACTGGAAAGAGGCGGGAAGCTTTTTTGGGTTATAGATTGGGTGGACAGCATCAATTTGCAGACATCTTGATTAAGGGAAAGTGAAAAGAAATGCAAGAATCTGAACTGAAAGGAGGAGAGGTTGGGCAGTCTTTGGCTATGATCAGCTGAACTGATGGGAGTGAAGACCTGGTGGACGACGGGCAGGAGAAAATCTGCTTGTCTTTTGGGGGGTTGAGGGATGAACAGCCGGCGGCGGTTGCTGCTGGAGAGGGGAAAGGTGGCCGCCACCTGGATACAATTTAGGATATGAAAAAAATACAAAAACAGAGAAAACCACAAACCCTGAATTTAATTTCAACCAAGAGGAAGCTCTATTTATAAGAATTGAGCCCCTTGATAACTAGGATAGGATAAGAACTAATCCTATTGATGACTAGGATAACTAACGATAGAATAAAACATAAAATAAAAGCCCAAATTAGGTTGATTACTGAACTGGTTGGCCGAACCAACTGGTCTTGGTAGCACCAACATCAGGTGTCTTATATCGCTATATAACAATTGTTGGTTGATTAAGGTACCTCTTATAAGGTACCTCTTATAGAACTTATTCATTTCCCTTTATATTTGTACTTACATCATTTGAATTTGTATCTATATTAATGCTTATAATCGCAAAGATTTAATACAATCAATATGAGTTGAGCTGCATGTGTCTGGTTGTCTGCTAGAAGTAGTTTGTACTAAAATAATATTATAATATTCAAATTCCTTTTCCATTAATAAAGAAGATGGGCAAGTATTTTACATAAGTTCACCCAATTTATGACTACATCTTGTTATCACCTCTGTAAATTTCACTATTGATCTTAGAAAATTTTGACAGTCATTTTTTAGATACAAATGTAAGATGGCGTCTCCCTTCTTATAATGGAAAAACTTAGGATAGCTGAAATAGAGTAAAATCTTCAAAACACTCTTAATGAAATAGATATCAATATTAAATATCTTTTAGCGGGTAAGATGAAATTTAGGCTCCACAACTTAACAATTATTACTATGGTTCAGATTTTATTATTTGAACTCTTGCTTTTTCCACCAGTTATACATAACAGCTGTGGTGGGAGTAACTCATATAAGCTAAGCATTTATTAAACAAACTTACTGATTACTCTTGTTATTAATAATGCCAACTGTTTTTCCGCTGAGGAATTTGCTACAAAGATTTCGTTGATGTACAAAGGGTGAAACGATTAGATTTTAAATTGCTTTTAGCCATGATTAAGTTGGTAGCCATGCATAGTTTCTCAAATCTGTAATGTGTTTTTTTGGCAGTTCTGCAGCAGCAATTAACCAGATATATGAAGTCAAAGGGCGTAAATTGACAAGCCCTCTTGCAATATGTGTTGCTGATGTTTCAGATATACCTCGGTTTGCTATTGTCGATGGTTTACCTTGCGGTTTGCTTGATGGTCTTCTACCTGGACCTGTTACTATTGTTCTGAGGAGAGGTTGATATTGCACAAAAGTTTTATATCGTTCAGTAATCTATTGTGTTCAATTGAACATTCTCAGAATTATAGCCAGAAACTTCAATGCTTTTTCAGATGATTCCAGCATTCTAGAGAAGTCACTAAACCCAGGTTTAGATAGCATTGGTGTTCGAGTACCAGACAATAATTTCATTCGTGCGATTGCTCGTGGTTCTGGAGGCGCATTAGCTCTTACAAGTGCCAATCTCACCGGACAAGCCAGTAGCATCAGCCCAAAAGATTTTGAGCATCTATGGCATCACTGCGAATATGTTTTTGATGGTGGCTTGCTTCAGGATGGTCGTGCTGGTTCTACGGTGGTGGATCTTACAAAGCCAGGTGCATATAAGATTTTGAGGCCAGGAAGGTGAATCTGATATAATCATGTCCAAATATATGCAGAGCTATTTCCAGCGTTTAGTGTGGAACTTAACAATTGGGCTGTTGTTTGTTTTGCAGTGCCAGGGATAAAACTGTTGCAGTGCTTCATAGCTTCAGTTTGGAAGAAGGAAATTGAGAAAATATATCATCTAGGAATCATTTAGCCCTGCTATTCTTCAATGATGACTATTCTGATATATTCCTCTTGGAAAGCTGGTTATAAGAATGGATGCAAGCTAATTATTCGATCTGTTGTCATGTTTCTCATTCAGGGTAGCATCTGGTTCGTTGAATCAGGAACTTTCTTATGTTTTTTTATTTTATATATCACTGGCGCATTTCTGTTTTGTTATCTTTTATAAATTTTTATGATAAAACGATTTTTTTTAATAATCAGATATTGTAGATTGTGGTAACTATGAGCGTTTTCACGGATCATGTTTGATTTAGATGTGATCCAACCATGTAAGACGCAATCAGTCCCATGATTTATATAAAGTATTTTGTGCTGCAAAGCAGTTTTGCCCAATATAATTTTTATTTTTGTATAGTACAGTCAATCAACAAGTGCAGCGGCTGAAATTGAGAATACCGCGCATTATTTCTGAGTGGAAAATCTCATTATGATAATGCACATGAAGATTTATAGAGAAGCATGCATATCAATCTGATGGCCAAAGCTCATTCTAACTGAACTTGATACCACTGCACAGAACCAACTTCACCATCAATCTCAAGCTCACAGACAGACCTGACAAGGTAAGCGGCGACATCCTCAATTGTTTCAAAGCCAGCAAGATCTGGAGGAAGCTCATCTCCAGGCCATCTCTCCAACCAAGCCTTCAACCTCATCTTCAGCTCCTCCTCCGAAACGAATTCTAGGTTCCCTGGTTCCAATAGGACGTAAGTTTCTGATTTCATATTCTCCTCCTAACTGCAAACATCTGCACATGCTTTTCTTGAAAATGTTATTTGACCAGCTAAATAAACGACAACCATATCAAAATCCAAATCCTTTGATAGGATAAGACGGATCTGATAGGTTGTTCTTTTAGGATTGGAAACCACTTCACCAAATTGAGTCATATCTCAGAATTAGATCAATACAAGAAGAAGAGGGAAGAAGGAAATCAATCACATGGAAGACAGATCTAACAAGGTTCCTAGTCCTGTACATCCATAGGCGCAACCAAGAACCTCACTAGATGCGGAGAAATTACCAAATGCACTCACATTCACCCCAAAAAAATTACAAGCAACCGCTCAAGCTCCGTATAAGATCTCCTTTTTTGTTTCGCATGTCTTTCACTAACCTCTATCTTATTTTCATTCACCAAAAACATAAAATAAAAATAAAAAAAAACTCGTGGAGGGCTTATGTTTGAGTTCCGTAATAGCTCGTCCTCATATGGAGACCAATAAAACCTGCACGGTCGATCCATGTTTTTGTTCATTAGAGAAAGATGAGACACACATGACAATTTTTCCTCTTCGCACACCGTCATCTTGCATCTAATGCTAAGCTCCTTCATGACCATTGTGTTAGGAAATACTTGAATATTTCAAGTAAACCTTAACAAGAATGAAAAACAACAAACGATTCACAAAATCTGATGGGAAAACTCACCAAAACAGTAGTATTTATTGCAGGAATCAAATCAACGAAAGAACTAAAAGCAAGATACAGTTGATCCTCAATTCGAGAGGAGGATCATTCTCTTCCAATCCCTAGACAAATCTAGGGCTCAAGACACAAGCACAACAACTCCTAAAGCAGCCACAAAACAAAGCATAACCCTAATCCTCCTAATCTCTTCCTATTTAAAGCAAAACCTCCTCTCTAACCCTATCCACCCCCTCCTCTTCCTTCCTAATTATTCCCATGGGCCCCACACCTAATATGGGAGGCAATTTCAAGAGGGCGGATCAACATTGGTTTGCCTCTTGTAAGTGTGAACTGGCCCCTTGCCAAGGGCCGGTTGGACCGCTCCAATGGGGACCAATCTAACAATACAAACCCTCCGAAAAAAACATCTTGTCCTCACGGTGAGCTGAAAAATTGATGCTTCACTCTCTCATAAAGCTCCCATGTGGTGTCGTAGTCCGGGAGGCTCTTCAATTTGATCAACACTTAGCTCTATCTTCTCTCTGTCGAACCCCCATCAACTCAAAGGGTTCTAGAATCACCTCTAAATCTTCTGTCAGTGTCACTGTAAACTCAGGACTTGCTGCATGATCTCCAATTGTTCTCCTTAGCTGGGATACATGGAACACCAGATTTATAGTCGCTGTTAGTAGTAATTTCAACTGATATGCCACAGCTCCAATCCTCACCACTACCTCATATGGCGAATGAGGAAGCTTTCGTGGAAGAAGTGGAGCTAGGAGAAGGAGAAAAAGAAAAAACAAAGCCTCGTTTCTCCTTCATTTTATCGACGAAAGCAGCAACGATCGAAGCCAGCTTCGCGGGATTTGTAGGAAGGGACGGTTCAGTGTCGAATTACAGGTATTTACGGGATTTCTTGTGGGATTTCTGGAATCTGAGTAGGGTTTGAGCTGGGCTTCGGTTCGTGGTCCAGAGGTCAACAATTATCCACATTGACGACAATATTCTTAAGAGTCATGATAATCTTATTGAATTTATTGAGATGGAAAAATATATATGCATACCTTCTTTCATGAGAAATGCAAACAACCTATGCTTGAAAAACATGCAATTAGTGATAGGCTTCGCCATGCACATGACTCTAGCTTAAGGCATAACTTGGTTGAGATGTCTTCATAAGCTACCTCTCTTAAAAGTATCATTTGTTATACAAAGACAATAAACCCTTCAATTCCTCCCTTAATCCTTCTTTCACCAACAAAGACTGCATCTTCAATCCCCAGGTATTGAAGTCCTTTGATTTCCCATCAAAGCTCTCCATCGTAATCTTCATTGTGGATATTGGCTTCATAGCAACCATGAAGAAACTGATCTAGAATAAGGGTTTGATACAAATATGCCATGAATTGTGCCACTTAAACCGCTCCCACAAATAAACTTGTGCCTTCACATTAAATCAATACAATCAGAAGAAAATCAATCAAACACAAAGGAGAAGAATTTTATATGGTTCGGGAATGAAGCCCTTTCATCAACAACCAACAATAATAAAAAATGCAACTAATTGCGGAGAAATTACAAATGTGGTCACCTTCTCTCGAGAGGAATTAAAACTAGACACCCAGCCTCCCTGTAAAATCTCTACTTTTGAATCTTTCCATTCTCATAAATCTCTCTAGTTTTCTTTAATGAAAAAAAAAAAAGCTCTTCTAAATCATAGATTGACTCCACCTATATGTGGCATTGTTGGTAAAACAACGTCCAAACAAAAACTACCCACTTTGGGGTTGTCCCACTTCAACCTTTTCACTTGGCTGGGAAGGATATGCTGCATGCGGCCAACCCACATTTCTATTCATGCGACCAAACTTGATACTTAGAACAAAATTCAATTTTTCAAACTTTCCTAACAATATTCTAAATGATAAGCACATTTAGACCACGTATGTGGTCCAAGGACAAGTTAAGGCATGCAAATGATAGTTTCAATTCATTTCTTGATCTATCTACAAATAAACTCGCACTGAGATAACACTAAATAATATCAAATAAATGGAATCACTTCATGGGATTTTCCAATTAGATAGAGCGGCAAGGAAATATCCCTTAAACGTTTCATTTTTCAAATATTTGATCATTGAATCATGCAAGATGTTCAATATTAAAGGGCAGGTACCTTAGAGTGATGTTCTTACTTCTCATCATCTGTGTCAGTTCAAAGCAAATCAATGGACATGCTAATTGAGATCCACAGACATTTGTTCCACAAAAAAAATATGTTGTATGTTTTGGATACATTGGTACCTATAAAGCATGATCAAATGTTATAATAAATGTGAATCATAATAAATACAAAAAACATTGTACCAATAAATAGCCTATATATCATAATATGGGAATATTCAAGGAAAATGATAGATTAGAGGAAAATGCAATTCAGTTTCTTTTGCAGATGAACGATTGAATTAATTGTGAGGATATGCTAAATCCATAGATTTAAATTCCTGCCAAAATATTGAAAGTTAATATCAAATCTTCAATGTGCAACAACCAATTAAATCGACATTGAAAGTTTGATAAATCCATTAATTTACACTTAATAAAAAATTATGGTTTTGATCTTCATATGTGACAAAAACATCGAAGATATTTTAAGCAACCAGTGATAAACCATCAGCAACCTAATAACAACTATCAAAGTGTCTACGATTAAAGAATGTGGATCAATGAGGATTAAAGTTTTGTCTGATACATCAGTAATCAAATATATATTCAAACTGAAATATTAAGCCATGGGTGAGGGCCGACCATTTGTTATTTCAATACTAATAATTATTAACACCATCAAATGTGGAACTAAAGTTAATCCTTTCATGTATCTTGATAATAACTACCCTTCTTTTTGCAAGTTGCATTAATGACTCATCAATATAATATTCTTTTTGTGGGTAATTTTAGTTATTAGTCATTGCTAACTTTGAAAAAAAATTTCAGAGGTGTCGAGGTCCCTCATCAAACTATGGCTTAGCCTGCTACGGACACTTGAATAAACATGGAGATCCACCAAATACATTTTTATACATGAACCAATGCAGTCCCAAATCAATGGAGATCCTGATGGGGACATTGACAAGAGGTTTCGACGCGTTTATCAGAGGCGACACAGGAGATCGATGGCCATGATGAAGAGTCTTTACTTTTGATGCATTTTCTGTATTAATCATTTTATTTCAGTTTATTCGTTTTTGCCCTTATGAGTAGTTGGTCGTTATTGTAGCCCAAGGGGCATTCTAGTCTTTTATTTTATTTGTCATTTTGAGACATATATATATGGTCATTTTCTTATGTATGAGAATGATTATTGATGAATGAAAATTTCTTTCTCTTGTTGATTTCTTTGTGAGTTCATGAAATTTTCCAAGATCTCTTTGTGAGTTCTTGAGGAGGTAGTTTTGTAGATCTCTTTGTGAGCTCTAGTGAATGTGGTGTTGTGGTTAGTGGTTTCACTTTCCGCATATACTTCGTTCGTTCTTCTTCTCCCTCAAGAAATCCCCACCCCATCTTCCTTGGAGAACCCGAGCCCCCCCCCCTGGTCATTGCCGACGGCCTACTTGGGCTCACAAGCCGCCGGCCACCTTCCCACCCGCCGGCCAGCCATCCTTCCAGTCATCCACCCGCCGGCCCTCCTCTCCCTAACATTCAATTTTTGAAATTCAAATTTCGAATTTCAAATTCTTTCCATTTAGGGAAAATCCAAATTAGGAAAGTTTTGCTCATGAATCCAATTTCAAAATAAATCAAAGTGGATTTATTTTACTCTTTCGTAATATTCATTGCTTATTTGAAAACCTCCCCACCTTCTCCCAAATTCCCTCCCTTCTTCATGATGCTGCCGGCCCCTACATTGGGCTCCCCATTAATTGCTCAATTACTCCCTCCCCTTATTTGAAATCCAAAATTTGATTTCAAATATTTTTCCCCCCAATCTCATTAAAACTAAAATTAATTTCAATTTTGCAACCTCTCACCCATCTCTCTCCATACCGCCGGCCCCTTTTTGGCTCCACCCCATTAAGCCTCCATTAATGCCTTAATTGCATTCAATTTGGATTCAAATTTCAAAAGTTTTCCCTCCCAATTTATTCAAAATCTGATCTTAATTTCAGAATTTTGATTAAACCACATCACCCCCATCCTAACCTAACTTCTACCAAAACCCTAGCCTCCACTCCACCTCTCCTAGCCGCCCCTCCTCCCCTCCCTCCTCTCAATGCACCATGTATGGCGGAACCCGAATGGAACTTTGGATTTGTGCATGACGATCGAGATCAAGTCGACATCCTCCAATCGCCATTCTTTGACGTGGGCTTTGATTTCGACGACACCGTTGAAGAATACATCGACCGTATCCAATACACCTTAGTTGACGTGATCGACGAGCAAAGGTCAAAGGGACGTTAGATCATCATTGGACGGTCATCTTCCTCCACCGCTCTGGCCAAATTTACAAGAACGACTATCCTAGATTCCTTCTTCCTCGGAGTGACCTCGATTCTAATGTGGAGACTCTTTTTTTGCTAAAGCCTAGACTATTTGAGCGTATGGGCTCCAAAGGTGAAAGCTCTCATTATTTAATCATGGATTTTTGTTTACCGTCGTAGCTTTACAATTACTCTTTACGTTTTCTTGAATTGTTTGGTTAATTGACTTCACTCTTCTTTGCCTAAGCAAGTTAAAGATTAAGAAATCCGAGGATCATTCCATGTTATAAGTAATAACTTTATTTTGGGAATACTCTGTTAAATTGCTCTTTTTAATTTCTTAGGTAACTCCTATCGTTTCACATCAGATCCCCCCATGACATTTGCAATACCAGTAGACTTCAGACAATCTTGGTTGGTTCAATAAGTTGACCCAATGCTTGTGATTCATAGAACCGTCGGTTTTTCATTTGAATCACTTTGACTCTTGGGCCTATTCGATCTTGTCTTAATGGGTCTTGGGTTATTGGGTCACGAGCAAAATTTGATTGCTGTTCATGTCTTGAACGCTATATCTTTATCTCTCGCTCTTTGAAACTTCTCGTGACTCCTTATCTTCTCCAGTTATTTTTTTCTCTTCATTGTTTTCTTCACCATCTTTTTACGTTTTAACTTTTTTCTTTACTTTTTATCTTCATGACCTTTGGATTCCTCTTTTGTCCTTTATGGGATGGCCACCCCTCTGTTTTATTTTGATGTCTTTTGGTCTCTGACTTTTTATGCCCAAAAATAGTTGGTCATTTGTATTGAAAAATTCACTAGTTCATGAATAAAATATTGAGTTTCTTCAACTGGAGTACTGTAATTGTGTGTTTTTTGTTAGTGTGAAGGACTTCTTCGGTGGAGGTGGTGCATTCTATAGAGAAAGGCTTCCAATGTTGCGAAGGATGTTGTCATAATGAGGAATTTCTTGTCACAACTATCTTCTTGTAATACCGGTATTTTAGTTTCAGCATTTTTCACCTTTTCTTCTACTATGGACCTATGGTTTCATATTTGAAATGTTTGTCTACATTTTTGTCACTTTGATTTGTGTTAAAACCAACTGCACTAAAATATTTTCATTTGAAATTCATTTTTGCTATAATTTTTTTGGATTGGAACGTCTGGTGCTTAAATTGTAATAACATCAACCCTATTCACCATTTCAAATCACTAAAACTCTTATGTAATTATTCAAGATCTATTTCCTTTATTTTGTCTGAGTTGTAATTACATTTTCAAGAGAAGATTTCAACTTTAGTCTTTGGTAGGATCATATAAACCCAACTCTCACTATAGGAAACCCCTTCAGCTGTTTTGCAACATCTAACTATCCAGAGCACAACTGATATTCTTAATTGAGAGCATTCTCAACATCAGGCCTAACACGTAATTAATCATAGATACTTATATCTATAAGAAACCTCGATTACCTATCAATCTAAATTTTGAAAGTACCTTCCTTTATGCATGATAAGCCCTAGATCCAAGGCAGATAGTGGTCATCTTCTTTCGAAGCTCACTGTCACCGAAGAACTTTTCCACTAAGAAGCTAGTAATTTTACCACCATTTCATGAATTCAGCCAAATTTAACAAAGAACAAATTGTGAAAAACGCTATGAATGAAAGCAATAAAGCCCGGCATTCTGAAATCACACTATTTACCATAATCCGTTACTCAAAATGCAGTAGTAATATTTTGAGAAAGCATAATTTCTTCACTTGTTTCCAGCTTATGAACATAATCATTCTTCTTGCCAAGCAATAATGCGCTTGAAGCCTAAACAAAACCCTAGATGAAAAATAAAGAAACATAACCAAGAACTGCATTGGAAATCAAACTGCACCAACTTGTTTTCTACGCAATATATGAGAAAGATACCGTTTTGATCTTCTATGAAAAAAAGGAAAATACCCACCTGGGAAAATTTGAACTCCATGAGAGTTCAGATGATACATCCTCAAGGTTACCTCCACACACACTCTCTCTCCCTCCGTCTCCGAGCGCCGAGTTTCTTATCTATAAACTCTCTGCGGATATAAAGCGCCACAAAACTTAACTTTTATTCCGTTTCTAACCATAGCGCGCCTGTATAGCCCAAAATATCACCCCTTTAAATGGAAAGTGACAAAAATACCCCCCACTTCTCCAAACTTCGATTTATTATTTCCCTTTTAACTCTAACCTGTATCTAAACTTTCAAGCTACCATTCCCGAAATACCCCTACTCCCCTCTCCTTCCACCGGCGCAAGAACATTTATCAGGCGAATTCTCCCGATAATTCGTGACCCACATTTCCCTTTGAAGCCCTTAGTTCCAGGAAAATTAAAATTTGCTTTTCTGTCGTTAAATTTTCTTGAAAATTTTCAAACAAAATTTTGACCCGTTCCCTTTCAGTCCCAATTGAAGCTATATTATTTTTGGAGATAGGATATCTGAGATGGCGGGAGAGAAAGCGAAGCTCCTCTGCAGCTTCGGCGGCGATTTCGTGAGTCAGCAGGGGAAGGCGTTCTACGTTGGGGGCAAGACCCGCTTGGTCTCAATGGATAGGTCGGCAAGCTTTCGAACGCTGCTCTCAAAGATGTCAGAGATCTGCGACGCTGATCCAGGGTTGATTGATCTCAGATTCCAGCTTCCGGATGTCGGTCTCGACTCCCGCCTGATTTCCATTGAGAATGACGACGACGTGCGGAATATGATGGAGGAGTTTGATTCTAACAGGAAAATTCCAATTTTTATGTTCATAGAAAAGACACAAAATACTGATGATGAGAATATCGCGGTCACCGAGGTTGGCATGCAGCCGCTGCAAGCTGCAGGCATGGATGCCGTGAGGTAGAAACTGTTGGATTTTTGTTTTTTTTTTCCCCCAAACCAAGCGACGTTTCGAGGTTTCAGTTTATTATTATTTTTTTTAATTTTCAAACAGTTGTTAAAACCGCTTGTGTGGGACGTGAACCCGTAAGTGAACTGAAGTTTTTTTTTTTTAAGTTCTGTGAAGAAGCTAAGTAATGCTCTTCTACTTCTTCCATTTTTTCTGCTTGAGTTTCCTTCTTCCATTTTTTTTTCCTGTTTTTTCTTGCTTCCATCATTGGTATCAAAGCCCGATTGGAGAATGACAATAAGTTCAAGTACCAATAATTTATAACCTCAATTGTCCATGTTTACGAGAAGAACTACAATCAATGAAGTATTCAAATGCGGGCGTTGTATCAATCTCAAGAGTTGTGGGAGATTATAGAGATTTGTTTTTAGTAGCCCGAAGTTGAGAGAGATTTGAATCAAAAACTTATTCACGAATTGAAAGAAAATGAGAAGAAAGATCATAATGTTATTTTCTTCATCTACCTAGCTGTAGATGAAATTATTTTTGAGCGGATCTCTACGGCGAAAATCATAAAGGAGGCTTAGGTTACACTAAATTATTCTTACAAAGGAGATAAAAAAGTAAAGTTGGTATGTTTACAAATCCTACGAACCCAATTTGATATGTTGCAGATGAATGAGTTGGAAAGTGTGGAAAAATACTTCAATCGAGTAATTGTCATTGTTAATCAATTGAAAATTGAATTGAGAATTTGTAGAAGATAAAATGATTATTGAGAAGATCCTACGAAACTTGACTAGAAAATTTGAAGTCACGGTGGTAGCCATAAAAAAGGCAAAGAACATAGAAAAAATGCATATTAAAGGGTTGGTTAGATATCTTCAATCAGATGAATTAAGATTGAAGCATTATGTTTCGACACCACTCGAGGAAGCTTTCCAAACTCAAGTGGCATTGCGTGGGAATTTCAGAGGTGGCCGTGGAAGAGGTTTTGACAGAGGAAGAGGCTATTTTGGTAGAGGAAGATGTTCTTTTGATACTAGAGGAAGAGATCGTGTTGGTAGAGGAGAACCTACACAAAGTATTGGACATTGCTTTAGAGGTAGAGGAAGAAGCAACCTTCCAATATCAAATGTCATTTTTGTAGAAGGTATGGGCACATTTATCAATTTTGTTAGAAGAGATAGAAGAATGAAGAGGCAAATGTAGATATGGTGCAAGAAAAGGAAATGAAGAAATGTGAAGACATAATGTTTCTTACACATAGTAAGGAGTTTGGCCTTCATTATCAGTGCAGTGGAGACATGATGTTACTTGGATATTGTGACAATGATTGAGCAAATGATCATGAGGAAAGAAAAAGCACAAGTGGATATGTTTTTTATATTGGTGATACAACATTCGCTTGAAGCACATAGAAGCAGAATGTTGTAGAATTATTTACATGTGAGGCAGAGTACATAGCAGCGGCTGCGACTTGTGATGCAATGTGATTGAAGAATTTGTTGAAGTAATTTTATGGAGAGATTGATGAAGCTACAAAAATTTATGTGGACAACAAGTCGGCGATCGTATTGACCAAAAATCTAGTAGAATATGACAAGAGTAAGCACATTAATGTGCATTACCATTTTATCGGAGATGTAATAAAAATGGGTCACATTAGCATAGAGCACTGCAGTACAGAGGATCAGGTAGTTGATTTGTTCACCAAAGCATTACCGACACTGAGGTTCATAAAGCTACTGAAGATGCTTGAGATGAAGAAAGTTTTGGTTTGAGGGAGAGATTGTTGGATTTTTTTTTTTCAAACCAAGCGACGTTTCAACATTTCAGTTTATTTTATTAATTTATTTTTAATTTTCAAACAGTTGTTAAAACTGCTTGTGTGGGATGTGAATTGTTAAGTGAACTGAAGTTTTTTTAAGTTCTGTGAAGAAGCAAAGTAGTTTTCTTCTACTTCTTCCATTTTTTTCTGCTTGAGTTCTCTTCTTTCAAATTTTTTGTTCTGTTTTTGCTTTCTTCCATCAGAAACAACAGTTATTGAAATGTAGATTTTGTTTTTTCTTGGTCTTCATGTGATGAAATTGTTTCTTCTTCTATCTTCCCAGAAAAAAAAAACGTCCATTGAGCTTGTTGTGGTTAGAAATCTGCAACTTATGAAACTGTGTTTCCCCGTGTGAAATATGTTAAATCCTCGTATTTTTTATTGATTAGTTATTGTATGGTAATTTTATAAAGATTTTTATTTCTTTTTTTTATCTCAAGTATATTCAGATGGAACTACATCAAATTCTAAGGCTGCAACTGAATCTAAGTTATTTATGCTATTTGTTCCTCACATAGCAGCTTCCATAATTTTTTCTATTCGAATATGTCCAGCAGTTCATTATTACTAATTTTCTACATATCTTGGTAGTTGCTTTTGGTGAGTAAGTCTGAAAGTTGATAAATTTAAACTGCCAAGACAAGAAAAAGTCTATTCTTTTCGTTAATATCTCCTTATGTCCTAGTTTTGTACAATGATTTTTGTTGTTTGTTTCTAAGAAAGTGCTTTACGATTTCATTGCTGCTTTTATATCATTGATAGTCTGTTATACTGTATGATTTCTGTGGCTGAAAATTTTCTCAAGCTTATTATGTTTTGTTTCAAATTATCCAAATCAAATTTCTCTTCCTACAAAAATCTATTTCATCTTTTCAGAGAAGTGGCACTAATTGCAGCTGAGGATCAACTTGATAGTCAGAATGGGCCTAGCAGTTCTGCAATATCTTCAAGAAGAGATTATGTCAGAAATTCATCTATTGGGCCAAGCATGTCAGTGGAGATTTTCCGACAAAACTCACAATCACTGGTGGTTGGTCAGGAATATGAAGATGTGCAGACATTCAGGAATTCACTGACAAGTGCAGCTATTGCTGCAAATTTTGAGCTTCATATGATTCGGTCAGATCAGCGCCGTGTCACTGCCAGGTATAACTGATTTCCTTTGCGTCTGTCCTTATGCTCTTTGTTTATGCCATGTGGAAGCTCCTTAGAAATTTATGTTTTGACTTTTGAAACATTGTTCAAGTTATCTTGTCTAATTTTATCAGCTTTCTTTAAATTTTCATTTAGGAAGCATGGAGAAGGTTAGTTTAATAAGTGATACATGGTTTATTTGTTAGAACCAAATGTGTGGGTTGTTGGGGTTGGGGAGGTGGAGAGCGGAGAGAGAGAGAGGCCCCGTATATACAACGGTCAAATTTATTTACTAAATTAATAATGATCTCAACTTGATTTACCATGTCAAATTCAAGTCCACTCAGAAGGCCATCATCAGGAGGTCTATTATAGTGAGACAAGAATAAGATTTAAGGTTAATCTGAAAATTCCCCTCAGTATGCTAATATGAAAAAAGTTTCCTATGAAAGATGCAGCAGATTATGATCCCTTGTGATGTTTATTACCTATGGAGTATTAGTGGAGTTCAATTGATTTGTCCTAATTAATATTGGAAGCTTAATGAGACTGTATTTTTCTGCAACCTTGCAAGCTTCATGAATGTGAATCATCTTGGCCTTTCCTTCAAGTTATGGGATGCTTTTTCTATAAAAACAACCTTGTTGATTTGACTCTACAATACAACAACAACAACATCAAGCCTTTATCCCACTACGTGGGGTCAGCTACATGAATCCTTTTTCTCCATTGTCCTATTAAAAGTCAAATTCTCGTTTAAATCTAATAGAGAAATATCATTTCTAATATTTTCTAACCAAGTCTTTTTAGGTCTGCCTCAACCTTTCTTAACATAAATCAAATCTAATACCTCTACTTTCTTAACCGGGTCATCGGAAGGCCGCCGTTTTATGTGACCAAACCATCTAAGGCGACTCTCTCTAATCTTATCTTCTACTGGAGCTACTCCAACCTTTTTTGAATATCATTTTCTAAGAAAAATATTTTTTTATCATCATCCTTAATACTTTGTTTAAAATTGCGCAACGAGAGGCGCGCCTTTGCGCAATTCTTCCCAAAGGCGCCTCGAGGCGCACGCAATTTAGAGTTTGAATGAGGCGTACGCCTCACCCTGTGTGAGGCGCGCCTCAATGGCGCAATTGCGCAATAATGGGTGAGGCGTACGCCTCACCCGTTGGCCCCACCCTACTTAAAATGACTCATTTTTTTCCCTACACTCGTTCGGCCCAGGCTTTTCCCGATAAAGCTCCGCCCGCAAGCTCCTGTTCGCGAAACAAAGCCCCTCCCGCATGGTCGGCCACCCTTCCCGCCGCCTCTCTCCGGCAAACTTGAAGTGTCCGGCCGCCTTGTAGGAGAAGTTCACAAACGATTTTAGGTATTTTTTTTTAGTTTTTGGTTAGATTTTTGAAGTGAAAAAAATTCTAAGGTTTTAGATTTTTTGAATTATTTTGTGTGATTTTCGATTCTTTCATTAGGGATCATGGTTATTTTGTGTGATTTTCGATTTTCATATATCATTTAGATGTTTTTGTTGTAAGGTACAATATTGCTATTATTTTCCTGCTAAAACCCTTATTTTTTCATTTACGCAATTCTGTGTCCGTGAGGCTTACGCCTCAGACCGCCTCGAGGCTTACGCCTCGCCTCACGGACAAAAACCGCCTCGAGGCTTATTTACGCAATTTAAAACCTTGCCTTAATACACTTCATTTGAACTAAATCCTTACTACTTATATATATTATTTGCTTGGCTAACTTATATATATATCTTTCTCCTTCCTTAGTATCTAATACATTATATAAATCGCTAAAATCTAAGGTCTTTGCATCGCATGTTGCTTTTCATAGATTCATTACGTGCCTCTTTATATATATCCCAATTATTAGAGTTTTTACAATTAAACTAATTTTTGTAATAAATCTTTTTATTTTTAATCTTATCTTGTACAATTGGATTCCACCATCAACTATTTTTACTATTATGAGCTTTTCCCTTTAAAACTCCAAGCACATCTTTTGTAATATTTTTAATATCACTAGCCACTTTTTCCCACATAGCATTAGCATCCTCATGCACATATAAAATCTTAAGAACTAAAATCGTACTTTCATAAATATTTTTATTAATATTCTTTAAAGATTATCGTTTTACTTTATTTTTTATTTTCTACCCCTTTATCTTAAAGTTCAAAACTAATTATCGATGTTTGGTACATAAATTTTCACTCGGAATAACTTTATAATCTTTGCAATTTAAAAGATCTAATTTTCTTAAAAGAAAATAGTCAATATGAGTTGTATTATTTTTTTTTTATAAGTGATGAAATGCTCATTCCTTTTCTTGAATAAGGTATTAGCAATTAAAAAATTATAAGTTAAACAAAAATCTAATATGGTCTTGCCACCTTCATTTGTCGTTCCAAACTCATGGCCACCATGAATGCTTTTAAAATCATCTACCTCTCTACCAACATGTTCATTTAAATCTCCTCTAATAAAAACTATTTCTTCAAGATGTATCCTTTATATTAATTCTTCTAAGTCATTACAAAAATTTAATTTTGAACTTATATCCAAACCTACTGCTTGAGGAACATAAGCACTTATCATATTAACAATCTTAGCATCAACAATAATCTTTAAAACTATAATTCTATCTCCAATTTTATTAATTTTTATAACATTGTCCTTCAAACTCTTATATATAATCACACTTACACCATTTCTAGTACGACTCCAACCGGAATACCAAAGTTTAAAACCTAAACTATCAATCTCCTTAGCCTTCTCTCCAACCCATTTAGTTTTCTAAATGCACATAATATTTAACTTCCTATGATTAATTTCATTAATATTCTTGTCTGGAAATCTATTTTTCAAGTTCCTATCCTAATTTTAGTTTTATGGACTAGCTTATTTGCCGATATCCATCCTTGATGTGGGACCCTTGCCTATTTAACACTGCACCCGGGTGCCGGTACAGCGGCTCTTGCACACTTGTCAAATTTGGGAGAGTCACTTTTCTGTGGTTTATCATTCATCATTCTGCACAAGATGAACAATTAATCGTTGCTCCCATCTGGAAACTTCTAGTCTTACCCTTTTAGGCATTTTTATGTGATCCTTTCATATTAACCTCTCTTGTTCGTGCCAAAAAGGTGTGCTAGCCCAAAGTGATACCTACAGGTACGTGGACTACAAACACCTAGTTGCTAAATTTAAAGGAGCACTTCTTAGAAAAAAAAGCTCTAATAAAAGGTAATTTACTTTAGAAATGAGTCAAACCTACCATGAAGATCCAATAAAAGGTAATTTAATTTAAAAATGAGTCAAACCCCCCTTGATCAAAATTTTGTTTTGATCTTTTAATTATTGGCTTTTTTGGTAAAGGAGTTTTGGGCAACTGTCTAATAATCTCGGTCTTGGATTTTTATGAATTTAGTAAGCTTATATCATGATATTAATATCGATTAAAAATGTATTGTATCCAACTTAGATTGGTGCAGTACTTAATTGAACAAAAAAAGTCCCACAAAATAATTGAAATAGGGCAAATAATTAGACTACATTTGATGAGGACATCGATCAGAGATCGGCATGTGTATCGTCGACGAAGTCGTAGACCGATGGCTACAATCCAGAGTCTTTACTTTTGATGTATTTTGTGTTTTATTTATTTTTCATTTCTATTTTCCAAGTTTACCCCTATGGGTAATGAGTCTCTATTGTAGCCCCGAGGGTATTTGTGTCTTTTTGATGTTTTTATTATTGAGGCATATATATTAAGGTCTCTTGGATTTGTATGGGTTAATGGTTTGATGAATGAAATTTTATCTTGTTTCTTAGTGATCTCTTTGTGAGTTCATGAGAGTGGTGAAGCCTAGGAGTGGCCAAAGAAATACCCAACAGTCCACTTAAGGGTGAGCTCTTGGTTTATTTTGTTTTTTATTTTATTTAGATTCTCCTTCCCCCGTCCTTTCCTCCCCATACCGCCGGCAACCCCCTCATCCTCCCTCCACCCAATGGCTCCCCCTCTTCCCTTTAACTCCCTGCCTGCCGCCTTCTCCCACTTCCCCACGCCGCCGGCCACTGAATCAAACCGGCGGCCGGCCTCCACCCCACAACTCCCTGCCATCCCCAAGCCCAACCCGCCGGCCACCTTGCTCCCAAAATTTGAAATTCAAATTCAAGGGCCTTAATTTCCTTTCCTAAATTAAATCCTAAGCAATTAAGAAATTTTCCTATTGATAATTCAATTAGTTAATTGAATTCAAAATCTTTTCTTTTGCTAGAAATCCATTTAGGAAACTTTCTAATTAAATCAAATTTGAAATTAAAATCAGATTTGATTTTAATCTTTGTTTATTCCCTTGAGGGCCCACATAATTAAAACAAATCCCTCTCCTCCCTCCTATATGATTGGCCTCCTGTATTAGACCTTTTTTCTCTCCAATTTAAGCTCCAATCACATTTAATTCTCCCCGTAATGCCCACATAAGCCGCCGGCCCCCATTGCCTTTTTGGATAAAATTTGAAATTCAAATTAATCTCTTCCCCCACCTTTGAAAATATGAATTTAATTTCAGATTTACTAGACGTCTAGACCCCTCTCTCACTCCTCCTCACCCAATCCTAGCCGTCCCTCTCTGTCTCTCCCTCTCCACCCTAATTCCCCTAGTGGGTGATTACACTCCCCCTCCTCCCTTCCACCACCGGTTCCTCCACCATCACACGACGAAGAAGCTCCTCTTAATTCATGGATGGCTGATCCGAAATTTGATCACGGATTTGCCTTCAATTCTCAAGGGCAAATCGGCATCATCCAATCACCTTTCTTCGACCTTGGGTTTGGATCCGAGAGCACTGTCAACGAATACGTCGATCGTATTCTCCTCCACCTAGAGGACGTAATCGACGATCAACGACCTATTAGAGAGTGGAAGATCACCTGACGACCACTCGTCTCTCCAACTCCGACTCCTCCAACGGCTAGCACCATAAGCATCGCTTGTCTCCTAGTGACGTCTCTAAGTTTTCTTGCAACCTTCTTCCGCTAAAAGAACCATTGTCATGAGTGCGAGTGAGGGATATCCAGGTGAACAATCTAATTGTTAAACTGTGGACTCTTGTTAATTTTGCCATAAGCTTTATTTATTTATGTGGTTGTTGTTTTGCAAGTATCCTAATAATCTCCATAGTAAGTGATTGCTATTACTTAATCTTCTCACAGATTGTTCTAAGGTCTAACTTGAAGAAACGTTAGTTTAAATTCAGCAAAGCAAAGTTCATATTTTGATTAATTTCCGTCACGCAATTCTTGTTAGCTACTTTGTTTCACATGAACATTGTTACATCTGTCTAGTAAGTAGTAAATATTGCTTTTGGGGTTAACAAAATTTTTAAGATGGATACAACATCTAGAAGTGCTAAATTAAATCATTCATTAAACATAATTAAATTTATCAGCTAAGCTTAATTAGATGAATTTAAACTAATTTATGATCAACTAAATTCATAAAAATGCATGAACGAGATTTTTTGTAGATTGACCCCTAGAATTCATTGAAACTTTTCCTACTTCAAAGTGGTGTAACTTGTGATTTTTTTTTGAATGATGCATTTTTAATCTCATTTGCAGGTGTGCTGCAGAAGGTTGCATATGGCGTGTTCATGCATCAAAACTCCCTCATGTAAGCATATTCCGGATAAGAACCCTGACCCCTGAGCACTCCTGCATTAGATCGGAAGATGGTGGACATCGACAAGCTACGGCAAAATGGATTGCCAATTGCATTAGAGACAAGCTCAGGAATAATCTGAACTATAGGCCAAGGGAGATTCTAAATGATATACACAGGGAATATGGAGTTCTTATCACATACAAACGAGCTTTTCTCGGTCGAGAGAAGGCTCTTGAAGAGCTACGTGCAGAACCAGCTAGGAATTTGAGTCCCATTGAACATGACTATGAGTCTATGATCGATAGCAGCCATTCAGATGCTTCAGCTTGGGGCGAGATCCATGATCCTCCAAGAAAGAGACTGGTTATAAGGGTTCGAGATAATAAGGAAGTGCGAGCACTGCACTGCACCAGGTGCAATGAAATTGGGCATAACAGGAGAACTTGTATTGTGCAGGAACCAACGCAAGGCTAGGCATTGCCTTATGATTGTTCTCACAGTCCTTTTCCATCATGTGGTTACTGCATTGAGCACTGGATAGATTTATGGTTATGGCAGTTCTTCCCTGATCCCTTAGTTTTTGGTAAGTGGTCATGCCTATGCATATTTGAACTGACGGATGAAAAGTTTTTAGCATTCCTTTTCCCTGTATTAGTTTTCAAGTTTTTCTGAGGAAATCTAAGTTGTCATGCTGCCTATGATGTACATATTAAGAGACTTATCTAGAAATTATATATATGAGAATGCAGAATTTTGTCAGCTCTCAGATTTGTATTTTCTCAATAACATAAAATTTATAAGCCTTTTGCAACTCAGGAGTTTCAATATAGTAACTTGCTCCTGCTTGTTCTATAGCAATGTTTTGATTTTGATCAAGATGACCTCTGCAGTCTAAGCTGTGTTGTTCTTACTATTAATCTGTAAGATTTTGGAAATTAACTTCAACTTCCAGATTGGACTCAGCTCAGGCTTTCAAGGCAAACCGATTCATGCTCAAACTTCCACATTTGGCTTAAAGAATTTTGACTGTAGTTATAGCTCTAATTCTGGAAATTTATGTTGGAGTCCATATAGTTATCCTAAGGTCCTTCACAGCCTCTGAGTTTATCCTTTTGGTCTTATTTGTGATTGTGGCCTCCGCCCGATTGTTTGCTTTTCTTTTTCGGGGGGAGTTGTAACGCATTAAGTTCCGGGGTAAATTTTGGAAGGCAGATGGGCTTGTAGATAAGACACTACCCAGAGATTTCACCCTCATTTTGCGAGGACTTTATAATCTGAGTTCTGGTTTCCTATAGGCGCAAGCCCCTATAGTTAATTACCCCTCCCAATCATGAGAGAGAACTTTCAATTAAGGCTAGTCATCAATCATATACGTAGATAATACGTGTTATCTATCATATAGTAATAGCATAGGTTTGGATTTGGGAATTTGAAAAGTTTGATATTTAAAATAAAAATTTCACTACCTTGCATATAAAGCGAATGGTGTAGGAATAGATGATAGACCCGATCAAGATCCCATGGTTCCGTCGTCCTGGGCCATCGTGAACCCTGGTCTACATAGTTAGAGGAGGTAGTCGACCCAACCTGACAGAAGGATCATTGTCGGCAGTCATGGGTTGCTTTGTCTACGGAGACCTTGTAGACCTGGGGTGAATGTTTGTCTAAGGGGATAAATTTAAATCCACCTTAGCTAACAGATGACTTTGTGCCCTATCGATCATATCCTATTGATTCATATGTCAAGGATTTGATGCCACTAATAAGCGTATTGGCTATTACTTGTGTTCAAACACAAGGTGGATTGACCAAGTATTTCCCTATTTCGGTTGGGTTACATCAAGGATCAGCCTTAAGCCCATATCTTTTTGCTTTAGTCATGGATGTTCTCACTAGACATTTGCAAGAGGATGTACCTTGGTGTATGCTTTTTGCTGATGATATTCTTCTTGTTGATAAGACTAGAGAGGGAGTTGAAAGTAAAATTGAATTATGGAGGTCAACCTGAGTGTAAATGCTTTAGTTTGAGTAAATCTAAAATTGAATATATGGAGTGTAATTTTAGTAGCAATAGACCTAGTGAGGGTGGTTTGGTCACATAAAACGGCGGCCTTGCGATGACCCGGTTAGGAGAGTAGAGGTATTAGATTTGACTTATGTTAAGAAAGGTAGGGGTAGACCTAAAAAGACTTGGTTAGAAAATATTAGGAATGACCTTTCTTTATTAGATTTAAACGAGAATTTTACTTTTAATAGGACACCATGGAGAAAAAGGATTCATGTAGCCGACCCCACGTAGTGGGATAAAGGCTTGATGTTGTTGTTGTTGTTGTTGTTGTTGTAATAAGCGTATTGGCTCTGACCATAACCGGTATTTCATGGTGCCATTTGGCGACAAAACTGCCGGTTAGAAGACACGTACCACGTCCTTATTGGTAGGAAATTATTTGAGAATGAATCATAGTGATATTTTCAACTAGGCATTTGGCTCTATGTGAGCTGAAGTTATATTCGAATTTATCCACCTTGATAAACTATTGCGGAGGGTAGATGAATTTTGCTTTAAGTGTTTGATAGTTTGATTTCAATTTTAAATATTTTGAAATTTAGGATTTTTGGGATTTTGGATTTTAAAGTAGTTGAGTGGCATTTGAAGTATTTGAAGTTAACCCCTCCGGTTGAGATCAACATTCAACACGGCCATCATCGGGGTGTTTGGGGTCATTTCCATTTGAAAATATTTGCATTTTGTAGATAAACCTTGTCGACTCTATTGAGTTATCAATAGATGATCGGGTTTCATAGGTTTTATGCATTTATTAGTGAATTCTCTTTATTATAGATCTTGAATCCTAATATGAATATATTAAAAAAAATATATCGGTCTCCACAACCGTATATTTATTTGATGGTTCGAACCCTGTCGACTCCTATTAATCTGCATATAAGGATCGGGTTCGATAGTAGAAGGAGGTACAAACCACGATCGAAAGACTTCAAAAAATTCTTCCTAAGTAATCAGAGAATTTAACTTATCTTGAAATTTATTTCTTCCTGCTGGCCCGTCCACCAGCTCTCAGCATCACCATCTAACAGAAAAACAGCTAACGGTACCTTCCTGTCCGAAGGACACTGTATACCGTCAAAGGTCTTTTCCAGCCTCCTTAACCACTCCTCAGCTGCTCTGGGCTCAACAGTGCCCTTAAACCCCGGAGGCTTTAATCTCAGAAACATCTGCAGATGTCTATCCACATCCTCAGATCGAACAGAAGAGGCTATATTCTGAGTCTCGCTCATCATCTGAGCAACTAGTGTAGCAAACTGAGAAACTGTATCAGAACAAATCACTAAGGCAGTACTGTTCACAGGAGCTGCCTGACTAGCACTCTGCCCGTCAGTCATATCTAGGTCTGGCGGATCCATAATCACACAGAAAACTAGGCATATAAAACACCACAATAAAAATCCAGACAAACCAGAACTATCCCGACAGACTTACAGATCAATTTCTATAGCTCTGTCGTATAATCCAAGTTCCAAAACTATTGCTCTGATACCACTAAACTTTGTCACTACCCAACCCGACCGGGACACATCCCGCTCGCATCGGGTCGCGACGGCACTTGAAATCCAGGATCTAGTTTTGGGACTTGCTTCAGAACTTTCTTCCAAACATACAAACCAAATCGAAACACAAAGCTACTATTACTTCCAAATATACATAATAGATCATCTATATTTTCTTTCATCAAAATAATCATGTACAATACAGGTCATGGCTTACAAACAGAAAGAACATAACAGAAAAGCCATGACTCTACAAAAAGTTAAAAGTACAAAATACATAATCACTGATCAGACACTGAACGGCTAATCCAAGACTTCATTCCCTTTCCCAGCCTGAAAACCATGCAGAAAACAAGGATGAGCTAACAGCTCAGCAAGACTACACTCACCAATCCAAATCTCCAGAAATTTACATCAGAAAACACATCAGAAACAGTTATTCAAATAGCCGTAGAGAAATCAGATAATCGTACAGAAATCAGAATATCAGACAGAATTCATATAATCAGACAAAACAGATACTTGAATTCAAATCAGAGTGCAGAACAGATCTTATAAAACTTTCAAATCACAGAACGTATTGGATCGTACAAATCAGAATTTAAATCAGATAAAATCACATTTTAGATAACACATTTCACATATCACATATCAGATATCCCTGACCCTGACAGAATCTCGATGGATTCTGACCCCTTATGCCTCCCTTCTCTGATACTGACAGAATTTCAGATTCTGGCCCCTTATGTCTCCCTTTGTGCTTATAGCACCAGAACAGAACAGATATACAAAATTTTCAGAACAGAACTGATTCTCAGATTTCCCGGACCCAGACAACGGAATCACAAGGGATTTCGGCCCCTTATAACTCCCTTCTGATATCACAGCACATCAAAACATTCAAATCAGAAAATCAGAGTACATCAGAAAATCGTCAGCGGCATAACGGCAGTATACGGAATTTACACAAAATTTACATATTCAGAAATTTATCAAATTATCACAGAATATACACAACAACATTATAAGACTTTCATTGTACTGAAGCAACATTTTTCAACATCCTGATAATTCACAATTCAATCAAAACACCGCAGAATTCAAAATACCCGGTAAAAATCTTCCAGAAAATACTCAAAACGTGCATAATAATCATCTCAGAAACATATCAAAAGTTATGCGGTAAAACTTTCGTCAGTGCGAAATAAAACCAAATATTCGCTAACGAAAATGAAATTCAAAACATAAAAGTTGTCAAAAATCTCATTTCTGAAAATTGAGAAAGGCGGAATGTGCATTACCTCGAGTCGGTCAACTTTCTCAACTGCAGCTACGGACGGAAACGGACAGAAGTCGCCCAAAAATCACTTTTCTTCCTTTTTCCTTCGATTTTCTCTCTCCTGACTTTTTCTCTCTCTTCAAAACGATCTCATTCCATATATATCCATCCAGATCGTCCCGGGACGATTTTCTCTCGGGAGTCATTTTCGTCCAGACGAATCCCAATTCGTCCTGGGACAAACTTCTATGCTAGAATTTTCTTCACAACCTGTACCGATCGTTGGACGATCTTGGAAGGAAAACCACTTTTAGAACACATTATGCGTATGATGAGTTTCCTACAGCAACTCATGGAAGCTTATTTTTGTTGTACCCCTTTTGGCATTATGCTTGTGGATAACATTTAGTGTGTATGTCGTGTCTCTCACAAGGACCATCTACTCTTGCTTGTAGGGAGCTAATATATTTGCTTAGCATGGAAGTTTATTTTTGTTGTACCCCTTTTGACATTCTGCTTGTGGATAACATTTAGTGTGTATGTCGAGTCTCTCACAAGGACCATCTACTCTTGCTTGTAGGGAGCTAGTATATTTGCTTAGCATTGGATTATTTCTGGTTGTAGGAGTGTTATAAAATTCACTGCATGTTGTTGATTGCCACCTATAAGTATATTGTTCTGCATTAGAAAGTTTCTTCTGTCATTTCTTATGAATGACACCTCACATAAGTATCCATATGCATTGGAAACTCGTCATATCTGGAGCATATCCCCTTCGTGCACATTAGCCAGCAAATCATTGCATTGTTTAGAAGCCTATCATGCTTATATGTTTTAACTTTTCGTGCTTATAGATAACCGCTATATTCATCTACGAGCTGGTTGCCATTGATTGGAAGGAAGCTTTGCTATTCATCTCACGTTCTTCACATATTCTTTGTAAATAGGGCATCCATGGTTGAGAT